AACCTGTACATATTCATAATTTAGAAGCTGACATAAATTCTGTCATCAGAGAAACTTTAAGGGAGAAAGAATTTCTCCTCATTGTCTTATTGTATGTTTATACAGGAACAAAAAAAAAAAAAACTGATGAGAAACAGCTGAATGAACATGTGGCTTTTAAAATGTTATATAATAAAACAGAAGGAAACCATTCAGATTTTCACATTGAACATACACTATTTTGTCCTTGTAGGTGACTTTTTTAAAGGATATCAGACTCCACAGTGACTCTCAGGAGACCCAGCTTCTAGAATTACAGTGTACTGAAGTTCCCTTCCACACCCTCAGTAAGAGGTGGGGCAGTGACTTCCGTATGAGCACAAGCCCTCAACGTGTTCTCCAAGAAAACCCAGGCACACTTTCAAAACCAAAGGACCAAGACAGGTCCAGCACATGTAAAGTGAGGAAAATCATATGGAGAAGCAGAAAATTATTGATTGAAACATCTAAAATGTTACACTCTGGGAGAGCTGGCCTTTAGCACAGTGAGTAGGATTCCCACATCCCAGAGCAGAGTGCCTGGGCTGGATCCCCAGCTCTGGCTCCTGACTCTAGCCGCCTGCTAATGCAGATCCTGGGGGTGACAGTAGTGGGGGTTCACGTCATCGAGTTTCTGCCTCCATTGTGGGAGACCTCAGCTGTGTTCCTGATTCCAGGCTGTGAACAGTCGCTGTGAGCATCTGTGGAGTGAAATAATAGATGGGAGTTGTGTATGTGTATGTGTCTGCCTAATTTTTTTTAAAAAAATTATTTATTTATTATTTGAAAGGCAGAGTTACAGAGAGGCAGAGGCAGAGATAGAGAGAGATGTCTTCCATCTTCTGGCCCCCTCCCCAAATGGCTTCAACACCTGGAGCTGGGCAGATCCAAAGCCAGGAGACAGGAGCTTATTCCGGGTCTCCCACATCAGTGGAGAGGCCCAAAGGGTTTGGTCCATCTTCTACTGCTTTCCCAGGCATATCAGCAGGAAGCTGGATAGGAAGTGGAGCAGCCAGTACCCAAACCAGTGCCAATATGGGGTGCCGGCACTACATCAGTTACACCACAATGCTGGCCCCTCAAACAAATTTTTTTGAAAAAATTTTTATTTAAACAAGCAAACCTTCAACTTTGTGTTGGAAAAGTAGATTGTTTTTGAAGTTGAACATGTCTGGACAAAAAAAAAAAAAAGAAAGAAAAAGAAAAAGCCTGGTAACAAGCAAAAACACCTGAAAAAAGTGCTTCTTTTCATGGGTCACTGAAACTCCAGCAAATCAGTGAAGAGTTCAAAGGGTATCATAAACACACACAATGACCTTGGGAATACGTGGCCACTTTAATTTCATTCGAAACAGTTGAGTTTCCTGCCAAAGCCTCAATTCCCTTTCTACAAATTGAATTAAGTGCTTATGTGAGAACCACAGTTCCTAAAAAGAGTACAACTTTACAAGAGCAGATTAATTGCTCTCACCTCTAGTTAAACACAATTTCCATCTTGGTAAGATTTTATATGGATGCATATATGAAATCAGTGACTTGGCCAACGTGCAAGTAGGGAGGGAGGTCCTGCCAGAAAGGAAAGCTCTTCACTCTGTTCTCCCTTGCCAGTCATCGCGTTCTTGTAACAAATCTGACCTTTCGGAAATAAGCGGTTTAACTGCTAAAAGCAGGCAAGACAGAAAACAGTAGAATTCACATACAGACCCAAGCCCTTGAAGCATATTAACCAGGAGATCAATTCCAACTACAGCACAGACTGCAAATTTTTCCAAATATCATCAACTGCCAGATAGCATTTATGTCCAAAAGGCTCTGGTGAAAATTCATATGGAATTATGCTATGCAAATAGCTTTTGAACACTTTAAATGATAATTCAGGGTCAAAACCCTTCCATATGCTGTGACATTCAGCCAAACAGAGCTCATAAGCTGTCTGTTTGCTAATGTTCTTTATGGGGCCGAGGAGCTGCGTAAAGCAGCTGCCAATATCCCCAATGGACTGATGATGTATTCTGGCTGGGAAAGAAACCAATAGGGTGGGATCGCTTAGGATCACAGCTGGAGGGTGGGGTGGGGAAGGCAAACGCCATGATGACATATTGTATCAAATCTCAAATAGGCTTTACTATGGTTGAATGCTTGTCCCTCCAAAACCCAAGCAGATATTTAATTGCCGATGTTACAGTATTGGGAGACAGAGCCTGAAAGAGGTGATTAAACTGTGAGAGTGGCACCCTCATGGGTGGGATTCATGCCTTCGTGAAAGAGCTTTTGAGAGAGCTCTCTCCCTTCCACCCTCTGTCACATGATGATTCAGCAAGGAGGCCCTTGTTGGGTGCTGGCTCATGCCTCTTGGATTTCCCAGTCTCCAGAACTGTGTCCCAATAAATACCTGTTCATTATAAATTACCCAGTATGTGATATTTTGTTATAGTGGCACAAAACAGACCCAGACAGGCCTTGCCAGCATTTTAATTCTTTTCTGTAGGATTTGAGCCTTTTGTCTCTTGTTCAGCAACGCGCTGCCAGGCAACAGTTCCAGCCTTGGGACCAGAGTTGTTGCCCTTGGACATGTGACCACAGGACTGGGCCCTGTCCCTCCCACACAGACCTCAGAGCCACCCACTGCCCGAGGCGAGTGTGGGGCTGCGCTCCATTGGATGAGCTCCGTGAGTCTACTTTTCATTTGCCTGGTAACTCCATTTGGCTCCTCCTTATCAATACCACCAGTTTTGTAGGTGGTCCTCCATTTATTACTTTCATTCAGGCTCTCACTACCTCACAACTGAATTATTGCATTCGTATCCTCACTCCTTTTCCTCTCCTCTCAAAGCCATACTGCTTCCTAATGCCAGCCTATATTTTTGGTCATGTCATTTCTTTTTTTTTTTAACTTTTATTTAATGAATATAAATTTCCAAAGTACAGAATATTGATTACAATGGCTTCCCCCCCATAACGTCCCTCCAACCCGCAACCCTCCCCTTTCCCACTCCCTCTCCCCTTCCATTCATATCAAGATTCATTTTCGATTTTCTTTATATACAGAAGATCAGTTTAGCATACATTAAGTAAAGATTTCAACAGTTTGCTCCCACACAGAAACATAAAGTGAAAAATACTGTTTGAGTACTAGTTATAGCATTAGATCTCAATGTACAGCACACTAAGGACAAAGATCCTACATGAGGAGTAAGTGCACAGTGACTCCTGTTGTTGACTTAAAAAATTGACACTCTTGTTTATGGCATCAGTAATCACCCTAGGCTCTTGTCATGAGTTGCCAAGGCTATGGAAGCCCCCTGAGTTCACTGACTCTGATCATTTTCAGACAAGGCCATGGTCAAAGTGGAAGTTCTCTCGTCCCTTCAGAGAAAGGTACCTCCTTCTTTGATGACCCATTCTTTCCACTGGGATCTCACTCGTGGAGATCTTTCATTTAGGTTTTTTTTTTCCCCCAGAGTGTCTTGGCTTTCCATGCCTGAAATACTCTCATGGGCATTTCAGCCGGATCCGCATGCCTTAAGGGCTGATTATGAGGCCAGAGTGCTATTAGGACATTTGCCATTCTATGGGTCTGCTGTGTATCTCACTTCCCATGTTGGATCATTCTCTCCCTTTTTGATTCTATCAGCTAGTATTTGCAGACACTATTCTTGTTTATGTGATCCCTTTGGTTCTTAGTCCTATCATTATGATCAATTGTGAACAGAAATTGATCACTGGGACTAGTGAGATGGCATTGGTACATGCCACCTCGATGGGATTGAATTCGAATCCCCTGGTATGTTTCTAACTCTACTGTTTGAGGTAAGTCAGCTTGAGCATGTCCCGAATTGCACATCTCTTCCCTCTCTTATTCCCACTCTTATATTTAACAGCAATCACTTTTCAGTTAAGTTTCTCATAGTGTTCATTTCACTTTAACAGGTTTCCTTTTTGGTGCTCAGTTAGTTGTCACCTATCAAGGAGAACAAGTGGTATTTGTCCCTTTGGGATTGGCTTATTTCACTCAACATAATGTTTTCCAAATTCCTAACAGGGATGGTCATGTCATTTCTATTCCCTGAGCCAGTCTGGTACAGCCAAGAGCCTGGGCTTTGGAACATCAGGATTCCAGTCCAGGCTCTTCCTTAATTAGTCTGAACAAGTCACTCTATCCTTAAACAATCTACTAATCTGTAAAGATGTTAATCTCCACACAGATGTTGAATAGATAAAATAAGATTATATCCACTATCTCCAAAGAACACCTTGTATAGTGCCTAATAATTGGCAGATATTAAATGAATGAAAATTATCTTATAACCCTTTTCATTATATTTATTATTCTTTAACAACTCACTCCATGGTCTTCGTATCTGTTCACCAAGGCCTTCAATGCAGGAGGAGATGGATGCACAGTAGATGTTTTACACACATTATTTCATTAATCTTCACTGTAGCCTGTCAGGTGGGTGCTTTGATTCCCAGCTGAATTCAGTGCTTGCACCAGTCTAATCATTACTAGAGTCAAGCAGTTGCCTTTAAATCTTCTTCGTAGCCATACTTGTTATCCTTTATTGTGTTAGTCCATTTTCCATTGCTGTAAAGAAATACTTGAGTCTGGGTAATTTGTCAAGAAAACAAGTTTTTGTTGCTCCCTTTTCTGGAGGTCTAAGAGTATAGGGTTGGCTTCTGCTTTGTTCTGGCCAGGGCCTCATGGCAGATGGCATTACTATGGTGATAACATCATAATGGTGATGATCTCACAATGATGAATGACATCACAATGACAATGGCATCACACTAGCAGGGCACATGTAGAGGAAATCACATATGAAACAGGAAGTCAGACAAACTCATGGGTCAGGCTTGCTCTTTTTATAACAACTTACTCTTGAGGGAACTAACTGATGTCCCAAGAGAACTACATTATTCTTCCCAAGGACAGTGCACCCCATGACCTTGTTACGTTGCACTGGGCTCCACCTCTTGAAAGTTCCAACACCTCAACACTGCTACATGAAGACCGAGACTCCAACACACGAACCTTTGGAGGACAAACCACATCCAAACCACAGCACTTATGATCTGATCCTACTAGATGGTCACCAAGAACAATAGAGGCTAATTTCAAGTTCAGTCTGGGTAAGCAAACTCTTACTGAGATTACCCAAGGGGAGATAAGAGAACATTTTATAGAACAAGGATAAAGTGACTAGATACAACACTCTTAAACTTGATGGGATCTTTATTTATTCATGATTTTTAGCATTGATGAATTTCCTTTCTTGGGCCATCACTCATTCAACCAACAAATGAGTTAAGTTCCCAGCACCATGCATCTGGGTGAGGTCAGGCTCAACAAATGGGCCATGCTTACGCCTTCTTACTCAGTCTTGCCTTGTGCCCTCCACCATGTCCTGCTCTTGAGATGCCCAAGTATAACCTTGCCTTGAGTTTACAAGGCAAACTAAAACCTTTCTTTCCAGACTTGACACTAGGTTATTTGACTAGCTAATCCGTTTAGCAAGAGCTGATGAGGTTTTGTTATAGCTGACAAAGGAAGTTTCAAAGAAATACCATCAACACCACTTAATGATATTTAATACCAAAGCTTACCATCACTCAAATCATGGCAAATGAAATGTTGGGTTAGTCCTGTGATGAAAACATTAAGGTAGGTATGTTCTCTATGTGGGTCCAAGTGAACACTTGTCTTGGAACAAGAGTAGTCTCTCATTCATTTATTTATTATTTTTTTAAAAAATTATTTAAAAGGCAGAATTACAGAGAGGCTGAGGGAGAGAGAGAGAGAGAGAGAGACCGACTCGCTGGTTCACTCCCCAGATGCGCTGATCCTAAGGCAGGAGCCAGGAGCTTCTTCCAGGTCTCCCATGAGGGTGCAGGGGCTCAAGGACTTGGGCCATCTTCCACTGCTTTCCAAGGCCATAGCACAGAGTTGGATCGTAAGTGGAGCAGCTGGGACTTGAACCTGTGACCATATGGGATGCCAGCACTGTAAATGGCAGCTCTACCCACTATGCCATAGCATCTGGCCCTACAAGAGTGGTCTTTACCCATCTAATTCCTGGGGAGTTGGGGGTTAAATCTTGTAGCTGGCAGCCTTGGGACCAGCAGCTGCCAGCAATTACATTTGTCAGCATATCCTCTGCAAGCCCCACTGCCTCCTTGGGGCTCACTGCCAGCAGGCCTCTTACTCCTGTGCATGTGGGGACATAAATCTCTTTGTAGGAAGCAGGAGCTAAGCGAGGTGCTTGAGTAGACAAGGTACTTAAGAGCTTAGGCAGAGGAATGCAGTGCCACTCAGCTGCTCATTTGCTAATTACAAAATGTGCTACTGATTTGTAAGCCTGGAAGTCCCTTTCTAACTGCATTTCTCTACTCTTTAGGGCAGCCTGTCTGAGGCCGCCATGTGGCCTTCAAGCTATGGCACTACTGGTGCACGGTGCAGATTTCACCCCAAGCAAGAGATTCAAGATCCCCAAACTGGATGGGGCCACAAAAGCACATTTGTATAACATATCTCCTAGTGGGATGATAAAACCCCACCACTAGGGGTTCACTCCCTGGGATAAGCATCCCTCTCTTCCTGCAGCTTTCCTCCTGGGATGCAAACCCTGGGAGTTAGGTGTGTGCAGAGACAAATGAATGGAGGAGAGGACCAAGAAGAAGGAGCTACAGAGTGTGCATGGGTGCAGGGAATTCAACCTTTGCTTCCTTCGCTACACTGTTGACCGTGGGGCCTATTTGTGGCTGTTCTCCCACTCCTTGCATAATAGCTGGCAAAGGTGGGCACCCAGAAGGGATGCATTGACTGACATGAATTAACAAAGCAGATTCGGCCCTCCCTTCCCTAAGAATGGGAATCATGAGAACAAAGACTCACAGGCACCTGTGCTCCGGGCGGGCAGCTGCCTGCAGGTCACACTGCCCTGACCTGATGCCACGGCCAGGTGGGCTTCCTAGCCAGAAGCTTAAGCTGAGAAAATCATGGCTGGATTTTTTTTTTTTTTTTTTTTCAGAAAATGAAGTGACACGCAGATCCACTTTCTCTCCTGGCGTATGCAGCAGCTCCCGGGTCTGACCTGTCAGCCGCTCCAGGCTTGTCCAATCCTAGAAACAAGCAGGACGTGCATGTCCAGAGACTTCAGACAGCCAGAGCCGACCACTCTAATTCATTCTCTTAAAACTGCTGCCAGACGTGGCAGCCAAGGTGAGGCTGAGCCCGTTGGCTGACTCAGGGACTGAAATCAACCCCAGTGTCAGTGAGCCTGTGGGGACAACCGAGCCAACTTCCTCCAAAAAGACACAGCCCCACTCTCTCCTTGGGCCACAAAAGCCTGGCAGACCTTGTCACCTGGAAGGTAAAAGCAGCTGGAGACATTTTTATGGGATCCTTTTATGAGGGCAGGATGTACTTTGTCTCCCCATTTAAACCCATGCCTTTGAAAGTCAGATTCCTGAAGAAATGGTTTATAGCCTTGCACTTGGTTAAAAAAAAAAAAAAAAAAAAAAAACTTGCAAAGATATGTGGGTCAAATAATAGGGAAAGGCGCTCAACTGCTTAATTAATACTTTATGTACTCCAAGTAATCTGCTGCCAAAGGGCTATAAGGGGACTTCAAAAGGTTTGTGGCAAAATAGAATTAAAAGGTAAATTTGTGTTGGCGCAAAATTTTTGAAATCCATGCATTAAAAAGTTCTGCAAAAAAAGGTCCTGGAAAAATGCATATTATGAAAAAAAAAACTATACATGCTGTGCATGGATTTCAATTTGTTTTTTTCTACAGCATGAAGCAGGAATGTCTGCTTTGGAATCCCATCCCTGCCACTTGTTAGGTTAACTGTTAATTGACTAACCCCCTAATAAAAAAAAATAATCATGACAAAGGAAAGAACTGAGCAATTAAAATTCCCAGTTCCAGCCAGTCCCCAACAGAACACTGAAAGTTCTGAGGAAGCCAGGGCTTTGAAAACAGCACTTTTGTTCAAACAAGCCAATCAGCTCCTGAGGGAAGCTGCATTGATTCTCACATCAAGAGCTCATTACGTATAATGTAGGTCAAGGAGGCCATGTCAGCCCTGCCTAGTTAGTCTCTGTGTACTGAAATATGCAAATTAGAGAAAAGAAAGTGTTCCTATTTAAATGACTCTGCACTCTTGGGATTTTGAAGTGTGCCTGAACCATCCCTAAGCAGAAAACACAAATGCAGTGGAGTCCAGAATCCATCAGCTACATCCCCACCTGTCAGAAAAATAATGGCTGCACGGTTTAGAAAAAAAAAAAAGAGTTGTGGACTCAGACAAAGAGGCTGAAGACTTCCCCTGGGGCTGCAAGCCAGTCCCAGCCTTCTTCTCTACAGCCTCTGTTTCCCTGGTGGAAGAAAAACCAGCTGGCCCGATTTCAGGAGGCCCTGCAGTTAGAACCATGACCCCAACCCCAAGTCCAGCACTTTCTCAGTTTCCCGAGTTGAGCTCTTTCACACAGTGCTCATGTATGCACACATCTGCTCATGACCCCCTTCTGCCTGAAGACCCTCATGGGCTTTTAGACTGAACAGACAGCGTCTTAACTTTGTCCTTGATACGCTCCATCCCCTCCCCCACAGCCCTGCTCCCCTGCTGGCCTCCAGCCAGGTCCATGCCCTCATCAAGTTCGCGCCCCTCAAGACTCCTGCACGCTCTCTGCTGGGGACGCCTTCCTTTCCCATCTTTGCCTCAGTCACTAGCAGCCATCCTTCAGTTTCTGGTTTCACAGCTCCAGGGCCAGGGAGGACTCCTCTGCCTTCTGGGAGCCCTCATCCTCAGCTGTGCTCTCTCATCCAACACGTCATTGTCCTTTCCGGCCCTCCCCACAGGCCATACTTATTTGTGTGATTAGACCCTGTCATCTTAGGGTATCTGTCAAGACCTTGTCTGCTGTTGCCCACTAGGGCGCCTCCAGCACCACGTATAAAGGCACTCAAAGATTTTCCGAATGGATGAACAGATGAAAGAATGAATGTGTTTGCATGCATTTTTCTTTATTTCTTCTGTTGCCGCAATGCAGACATTGGCCCAGGGGCAGTATTGGAAATAAAACCCCCAATCAGAATAATTGTTCCTTCCTGTGAAGGCCTGCAGAACTGCTTGTCATTGTGTCAGGCTGACTTACGATACAGTCAGATGAATAGTGTGTCTCCTTCCACCTCTGCCCGACTGCAGGCGGGACCGTATTCCACTCATCATTGTATTCCCCATGCCCAGCACATAAACTACACAAGAAACCACACAATCTATGAAGAAACTCACACATTTGTTGAAGGGGGAAAAGCACAGCGTGCTAAGCAGAAAGTGATAGGCTACAGGAATTAGATGCTGCAGCACAAAGATGGTTAGTGTACACTTTTAGATGGATCAACTCCAGAAAGGGACAGGAGTATCTCCTCCTGCGATACTATTGCAAAGGAGGAGAGAACAGATGCTCAAAGACTACCCTGGAGCCAGCATTCTGTATCCTGGCTACAACACTTTCAATCCAGCTTCCTGCTAATGCACCTGGGAAGGCAGTGGATGATGGGCCAAGAAGCTGGGCCCCTGCCAGCTACATGGAAGACCAGGATGGAGTTACCAGCTCCTGGCTTTGGCCTGGCCCAGCTCTGGTGTTGTGGCCATTTTGGGAGTGAACCAGCAGATGGAAGATTGATATCTCTCTCTCTCTCTTTCTCCTGCTCTGCCTTTCAAATGAATAAATCTTTAAAAAATCAACCAAGATGATGGGGAATAGACAGAAGGACCTTTGGCCAGGCAACTACAGTTTGCCCAGATTTGCTCTTTCCATGGCAAAAATGATCAGGTAGGAGAAAGTTTGGCTGGAACAAAAGATGCAGGCTGGTAGAAAGCAGAGATGATCTGGATAAGACACTGTGTTGAGTGAGCCAGAAAGTTTACTTAAGAAAATACAGGAAGTTAAAAAAGCAGTGTGAAGAGGTAAGAATTTTTGGTATAAACATGTGTCTTAGAATTTCTCCATTGTGCTTGGCTATCTAAACCCAGAGGGATGGGTAGAGATTCTGTGTTAATACTGCTAATTGAAGAGTCCAAGTTGGGAAAGAGTCCAGTGGCACCAGGAGGGGCAGATTGTCCAACATAGAGCCAGAGGAGGCCAGTTGCTGGAAATCTTGCTGGTGGCTAAAGGTTAGGACTTGAGCCCACAAAGCTGTTGTGTGGGTCCATTAGGTAACTCAGGACATGGAAATCAGACCAGCTTGGGGGCGCAGGTGCTTGGGTATAGATGTGGGCGTTAGAGGGAGAGGGAGTCCCACTACGCTGACCCCTTACCTGTGGAAGGCCTCCTTATGAGAATTCCATTCTTACCACCACCAGTCTTCAGTACAAGGGAAGACAGCCAAGAGATGATCAGCCTGGAGCTAGGGCTCCAGCCACACAGGTGAATTTAGGGCAGTCCCTAAGAAGGTGGATCAGTTAGGAGGGTTCCAGTCCTGGGGTGGCAAGATAGTTGGGCAGATTCTTGACACGGGCTCGTTCATAGAATTCAAGTAGAACAAAAGAACAAGCCCAGTGTTAGAGTCATTTTAAGAAGGTGAGTGTGGATGCCGGGAGATGATTAACAAGTTGCAGGCAGGGGGAGAGAACGTGTGGGGGTGCATATTGCTTCTGGTATTGGAGCAGAGAAGGTAGGATTTTCCCTGCCTCCTGTTCCCATCCCCACTGCTCTCAAAAGAAGGGGCGGGGAAGCACAAGAGCCCATGGGAGAGGATACTGGGAGGGAACGCTTTGGGGAAAGCCAAATTTTTTGTAAAGTGAGGAAATGAAGTGAAGAAATACAGAGACGTATAAGGAAATGGGAAAAATAATCTATGATGATGTCATGATACTGAGAAGCACCTTGGGCCAAAGGTCACCTCGGCCTGTGCTACTCTAGATCTAATGCCTGGAGCTGGCCTGGGCCTGGGCTGGTAAATTTGTCCCCATGTTGGTCTCAGGTCACTGGGCTTTTCTGTTTGCACTGACTTTGGCTGGAAGGAGTTTAACTCTACCAGTAAGCACAGTTATATTAAGGACAATTAAAAAAGTCCATGGAGTATGGAATTAAAACATAAGCTTATTTTTTTTTTTGACAGGCAGAGTGGACAGTGAGAGAGAGGGACAGAGAGAAAGGTCTTCCTTTGCCGTTGGTTCACCCTCCAATGGCCGCGGCTGGCGTGCTGCGGCCGGCGCACCGTGCTGATCCGATGGCAGGAGCCAGGTGCTTCTCCTGGTTTCCCATGGAGTACAGGGCCCAAGCACTTGGGCCATCCTCCACTGCACTCCCTGGCCACAGCAGAGAGCTGGCCTGGAAGAGGGGCAACCGGGACAGAATCCGGCGCCCCAACCAGGACTAGAACCCAGTGTGCCGGCGCCACAAGGCAGAGGATTAGCCTAGTAAACCGCGGCGCCGGCCACATATAAGCTTATTTTTAAAAAAAGATTTTGAGGGGCTGGTGCTGTGGCACAGCAGATTAAGCTGCCACTTAAAATGCTGACATCCCACTGGTTTAAGTCCAAGGTGTTTCACTTCCAGTCCAGCTCCCTGACAATGCACCTGGAAAAGCAGGAGATGCTCCAAGTGCTTGGGTCCCTGCCAAACATGTGGGAGTCCCAGATGGAATTTCTGGCTCCTGGCTTCTGCCTGGCCCAGCTCCAGTTGTTGTGGCCATTTGAGTAGTGAACCAGCAGATGAAAGATCTTTTTTTCTCTCTTTTTTTTTTAAAGAATTTTGAAATCTATGCATGTTTTTCTCCTAATGCTAATTTTCCATAAACTTTTTGAAATAGCCTTTAGGCTGGAGATCTACAATTTGCCAAACATGCACAGTTAAAAATGCTTTGCAGGGGCTGGCGTGGTGTAGTGGGTAAAGCCACTGCCCGCGACGCCAGCATCCCACATGGACACCGGTTCAGATCCTGGCTGCTCCACTTCTGATCTAGATGTGGTAGTAGAGTCCCTGGGATTGAGTCCTAACTCCACTTCTGAACCAGCTTCGGGCTCATGTGCCTGGGAGGCAGCAGAGAATGACTCAAGCACTTGGGTCCCTGCTTCTCCTGTGGAGACCTGGCTAAAGTTCCTGGCTTCTGGCTTTTGCCTGGTCCAGCCCCAGCTGCTGTGGGCATTTAGGCAGTGAACCCATGGATGAAGATTAAACAAAATTCATGGAAAAGCGGGATTAAAAGATAAATTTGGGGCATGCATTTGGTCTTGGGGTTAAGATGTTAGTTGTGATGCCTGTGTTGCACACTGGAATGCCTGGGTTTGAATCCCTCCTCTGGCTCCTGATGCCAGCTTTCTGCTAACACAGACCCTAGGAGGCAGCAGGTAGATGATGGCTCAAGTGGTTGGGTCCCTGCCACACACCTGAGAGACCTGGATTGAGTCCCCACTTCCTGACTCCAGTCCAGGACTGACTTAGAATTTTGTGGACACTTGGGTACAATGGATGGGAGCCTTCTCCGTCCCTCCTCCGCGTGTGTGTGTGTGTGTGTGTGTGTGGCTTTCTCTTGACAAAACGGAGGGGGATAAATCTATTTTGGTGCAAAGCATTTTGAAATCCATGCAAAGGTTTTTCATATTATGTAATTTCTGTAAATTTTCAAATACTTGTATCTACAAAAAATGTACAGTATTGTTTTTCAGGTTCTTTAATTGTAGTCCTGGTCATTCTATGATTTTCTTTCTTTCTTTCTTTCTTTCTTTCTTTCTTTCTTTCTTTCTTTCTTTCTTTCTTTCTTTCTTTCTTTCTTTCTTTCTTTTCTCTCTCTCTCTCTTTCTTTCTCTCTTTCTTTCTCTCTTTCTCTCCCTCCCTCTCTCTTTCTTCTCCTCCTCCTCCTCTTCCTCCTTCTTCTTCTCCTTCTAAGATTTGTTTGAATTTGAAAGGTAGAGTTACAGAGAGAGAGAGAGAGAGAGAGAGATCTTCCATCAATTGGTTCACTCCCCAAATGGTTGCAATGACTGGGGCTGGGCCAGGCCAAAGCCAGGAGCCAGGACCTTCTGAGTCTTCCACATGGGTGCAGGAGGAGCCCGAGCACCTCGGCCATCCTCTGCTGCTTTCCCAGGCCACCATCAGGGAGTTGGATCAGAAGTAGAGCAGCCAGTACTTGAACGGGAGCCCAGATGGGATGTTGGCATTTCAGGCAGGCAGCGGCTTTATGGGCTATGCCACAATGCTGGCCCCAAACATAGCATTTTCTTCAAGGCACAAACTTGGAAGTAAATTTTTTGTTTAGTACTGAATTACTAATGGTATTTTAAGACTCACCATTGTAGGGAAAATTTGTCTGTTTTGTTCCCTGCAGTATTCTCTGTGTCTAGAACATTGCCTGGAAGAGAAAGCACTCAATACTTACTTATTGAACAAATGAAAGAAAGAAATTTTAATGTTTGGTACCCTAAACCAAAAGACGATTCCTTTGGCTTGCTCCTCTCTGGTCTCCAAGTCTTTCCTCTAAGCAGCCCCTGCCATTGAGGGTAAGGTGACGCACAGCACTGCTAGGCCAGGTGTACAAAACTCTCCCTGCTGGGGCTCCCCAGGAGCTCCCCTTTCTGCTGGCTGGCTGCAGTCAAGTGTTTGGGAAGCTCCTGGTGGAACTGGTGGGCCGGGGAGCCTGGCTTCCGGTCACAGGAAGCGTCCTCCCCTGCTCGGAAGCACGCATTCGGGATGGTGCAGATTGTAAACTTTAGTGTGTTGAGCCACGGAGATTTGCAGCATTCAGAGCTATGCTCTAATTAATACCAGGACGACATCCACCTTGCGTCTGCTCATTTCCTGGTTGTCTAGCGTGATTTGTAATGTACATCAGACACTGAGTAATATTTCTTGAAATAAGAAAAGGAAGGAAGCGAGGGAGAAAATGATACTCCCAGAGCTGTGCCATCACCCAGCTTCTCTGCCCTTGCCGTCTCCACTTTCCCCCTCCAGCTCCTTCACTTCACTGTGTGCTGAAACCACAGGGAGGAATCTTCACTTGGGGTCTGCCAAATGTGGGCCAGGGCATACAGATTTTTGGTAAACTTTATTTTTATTGTTAAAGAATTTATTTTAAGTGTTACTTATCAAAGAGAGAAGGAGAGAGAGAGAGAGAGAGAGAGAGGAACAGAGATATCTCCCCTCCTCTGATTCACCCCCAAATGCTCCCAACAGCCAGGGCAGGGGAAAGGCCAAGGCCAAGGCCAAAGCCGGGAACCAGGAGCTCAATCCAAGTCTCCCATGTGGGTGACAGGAACCCAGTCATCTGACCCCTCATCACTGCCTCCCAAGCTCTGCATTAGCAGGAAGCTGAAGTCAGGAGCCAGAGCCAGGACTCAGATACACCAACATGGGATGTGGGCATCTTAATTGCTAGAACAAACACTTATCCCTGCTAAACTTTGTTTTAATGATACCTTCGAGTTAATTGGGTCTGACATTATTTTATACAAGTGGGATTTAACAAAACCTATTCTGAAGCAGAATATTGATAATGAATTTGCCACTGAATAACATCTCAGTACAAACAATGTTTAATTATTATCTACTTTTAAATTCTAGGCTTGGGCATTATTTGAATTAAGTCATGTAGAAAATAAGAATACTATTTTTTTGGCTGGCACCCCTGCTCAATAGGCTAATCCTCCGCCTAGTGGCACCAGCACACAGGGTTCTAGTCCCGGTCGGGGCTCTGGATTCTGTCCCGGTTGCCCCTCTTCCAGGCCAGCTCTCTGCGTGGCCCGGGAGTGCAGTGGAGGATGGCCCAAGTCCTTGGGCCCTGCACCCCATGGGAGACCAGGAGAAGCACCTGGCTCCTGGCTTCAGATCAGCGCAGTGCTCCGGCCGCAGCGCACTGGCCGCAGCACACTGGCCGCGGCGGCCATTGGAGGGTGAACCAACGGCAAAGGAAGACCTTTGTCTCTCTCTCTCTCACTGTCCACTCTGCCTGTAAAAAAAAAAAGAATACTATATTTTTCATTATAGACATCTATATTATTTTATATACTACTGCAGGAAAAAACATTGTGATAAAAATGTCTAGCGCTCACCCTATCCTGTTTGCATCTTCCCAGAACACGGAGGCAGGCAGGCAGTGCAGGGGGACTGGTCCCAGGCCCTGTGAGCGAGGGGTGTCTCTCCTTCCAGGACAAGGGCAGTGAAGGCCCCTTGCAGAACTTTTGATCTCTCTTCTTGGTAAGAAATAAATCTTGGTTGTATTACAACCGAGACTCCAGAGTTTCTATGTTGCCTAAAATAGTGTCGTTTATCCTAACTGAACAGAGGAGTTCATGCATAACATAATGGCAAATTTACTCCCTAGATGATTTATTGATCTACATCACTAGCCCGAGAGTAAAAGGACCAAGCTACGTTTTCCTATCTCAAGAGATGAAGAAAAGAGATTCCAAAATGGCGGGATAGGGAAGGATGTACCGCTTTAGGCTACAGGAGATCAGCAGCAAAAAAGTGGAAGAAGTGCATTCCCTGGAACTCTGCAGTGCAATTCCACAGAAGAAGGCGAGATGCCATGGATCAGCGTGGGAGGTGCGGACACACAGCAATGAGCATGGACACAACACACGGCCCCCACAGCCGAGAGCCAGGGGAAGCGCCGGCTTTGGAGAGCGAGGTGAGACCACACCGCAGCAGCCCAGGCCACTGGTGATGTAGCTGGAGGGAGAGCCTGAAGGAGGACACTGTCTTTGAGTCCAGCCTGGAGCCCTAAGGAGGACAAGGTACCAGCCTAACCCAGAAGAAAAAGGGCATACTTTTCTCCCCCACCCCCCTACAATGGCACCCACCAACCAGTTGGGGGAAGGCACCATTTTGTCAACAGTAGCAGCTGTGTCAGGTCTCGTGGGCGTGCCCAGCAACGGGCAGGGACAGGTGCCAACTTGACAGCAGTGGCGGCTGGAGCAGCTCAGGTGAGCACACTGGGCAGCGAGCAGAGAGCAGGTGCCATTTTGAAATCAGTAGTGGCTACAGGGGCTCTTTTGCTCACCAGCAACCAGTGGGGAGAAGGCAACATTATAACATGAGTAGCGGCTGCAGCAGCTCTTGTGCACTGTGTGATCCAGGGATTTTACCAGAGGGAAAAATCAGTGTTTTCCACTGACTTTGGGTCTGGCTGGGAGGATTGACATGGGGCTGGGGACTCACATAGGACTGGGAGGTGCCCCCAGCCCCTCAACATATCACAGGCTTCAGGGTTCGAGCCACCCAGCAGATGACACACAGGCAGCCGAAAAGCCCATGAGAGCATTTCAGGCATGGAAAGCCAAGACACTGTGGCAAAAAAAAAAAAAAAATGGCCTACAAGTAGAATCTATGAGTGAGATCCCAGTGGAAAGAAGTGGTCATGAAAGGAAGAGGTACTTTTCTCTGAAGAGAGGCGAGAACTTCCACTTTGCTAATGGCTTTATTTAAATACTGACAAAATAATGGATTCATAAGGGTTCCATAGCCTAGGCAATTCATGTCAAGGGCCTCAAGTGATCACTGACATCATACATAAGAGTTCTAATTGTTAAATTAGCCATAGGAGTCACTGTACACTAACTGCCTATGCAGGACCTTTGTCTTCAAAGAGTTGTATTGTGAGAGTTAACAGTAAAATTTATTCTCAAAGGTTTATTTCATTTTAGTGTATTAAGTTGAGGATATTCTTATGTTACATAAGTTTTAGTTATGCCTAAGTGTCCAACTCCATTGCTTGGTTTTTTAGGTTCTTCTTTAATTAATGAAAAAACTTGTTCTCAAGGACTTACTTTCTTTTAATGTATTAAGTGGAGGATATTTTTATGTCATAGTTATGTCTAAGTGATCACAAAAGATGTATCATTCTTGGGTGCTTCTTTAAAGTTAATTAAGTTTCTCAAAAAAAAAAAGTGAAATTAACTTCGAGAAGCAATGACTTTGAACAGCCTTTGTCTGGACTGTTAAGGAACAGGTTGTGTGTGTGTGTGTGTGTGTGTGTGTATACAAATGATTAAGGGATCAATTCAACAGTAACGTGTGACTCTAGTAAATGTATATGCACCCAATGCTGTGGCACCTGGATTTTTAAAAGAAATGTTAATGGATCTAAAGGGAGACATAGACTCCAACACAATAGTAATGGGGGACTTCAACACCCCACTTTCACCAATGGACAGATCAACCAGACAGAAAATCAACGAACAACAGAGGTAATCACCACTATGGACCACATGGACCCAACTCCTGTCTACAGAACTTTTCATCCTACAGGGAAGAACACACATTCTTTTCATCAGCACATGGAATTTTCTATAGGATAGACCATATGCTAAGCCATAAAGCAAGTCTCAGTAAAATGAAAAAAAAATCAAAATCATTATTGCATCTTTTCTGACCCCAATGGAATGAAGCAGCAAATTAACAACTCAGGCATCTCGAGAACACGTGCAAACACACGGGACTGAACAACACGCTCCTGAATGCACAGCGGGTCACAGAAGAAACCAAAAGAGAAATCAAAGGCATCAAGAAAAGGGAAAGGATTTGGAAAGGGCAAGTGTATTTGGGGCTCAGGATAAAGGGCGTTGACAAAGCAAAGCTACACAATTAGAAGCAGCCCTTGAAATCCCTGCTCCAGCTGAATCCACACCTCATTCTGTGGCCTGTGGACACAGAGATTTAATCTTCACAGTGGTTCCTTTTCCTGTATTCACATTACATTAAACCTGGCTGCAAAGCCAGTCCACCAAACAAAGGTTGACACAGAACTCAAGGCAAGTCAACATTCAACTATGCTGATCCATATGGCAAGAGAACACACTGATTCCCCGAATCATCTGCTTTCCTGCTTGTTAAAGACTCTCCACTTCATAAAACATTCATGCAGTCATCAGGTAATTCTGTTATCTTGTTCTCTGTGTGTGAGTCTGATTGTATTTCCCCCTTGATATTAAATAATATGGCCTTTGTTGCTGTCTTTGAGGTGTAATCTCATTTATATGCTATCATTTACACCACCCTCCTCACAGGATAACTTCCTTCCCTTTCATGTCTTTCAAATACAGGCAGACAAAGCATTATTATTTCCATGTAAAAACTAAATCCCAGACTTTGTGGCCTCTGGGCCTATTTGTTATGTTGATGTTTTGCAAATACAATTGCGCCTCCTGTACCCTAAATGATCAAGATAGGCAGACTCTGGCTGTCTGAATATTCAGATTCAATCTACAGTGTGTCTTATAACGATATTCTACCTCGGTAGAATAGAAGTCAGAGTTTTGACACATTAAATCACTGTAAGTTAAAGAGATGGCTCCTGGTGGGAAGAGAGGATGAATTCCAAATATGTGACCTATAACTAGCACAAAAAAACTGCATGGGACAACCAAAGATATATCGAGATAGAAGCCATGTTAGCAAGGCAGTTGCTATCACTTTCAAACTTCAATAGGTAGCAAATATTCTGTTCAGGCTCCAAAATGCACATTGTGTCCAAAATGCACTTTTTCCATCATCAGTCTGGCTTTATCATCAGCTAATCCAAACCCCACCCCTGGCTTTCCAGTATCCAGTTACTGAAACCAAAGTAACACTCGTCTCTGTCTAGTGCAAATATACCTGAAGTTTCCTCACCAGCTTCTTAGGTAAACGGATTCAAGATAAATCGCCAGAGATAAAAATGAAAAGAAATGGAAAGATAAGAAAGTGCAACAGAGGGATTCACTATGTGAAAACTCATAGAACAAATGTTGGTCTGCTGTTGGTGATGATTTGAGCTTGCACTTCACTAAGAAAATAGAGGTGGTCATTAGCCTACGGGTTAAGAAGCCGGAAACCCACATTGGAGCACTTGACTTTGATTCCTTTCTCTGGCTCCTAATTCCAGCTTCCTGCTAATGCACACCCTGGTGGGGCAGCAGTGATGGCTCAAGTAATTGGGTTCCTGCCATCCACTTGGGAAACCTGGATCGTATTCCTGTCTCCTTGTTTCAGATCCTTGTCCACTGCACACATTTGTAGGGTGAAATAGTGAATTGGAGTGCTTCTCTCTCTCTCCTCTCTCTCTCTCTCAAATAAATAAAAATGGAAAAGGAAGCTCTCACAAATGGCTATGGTCTTTCATCTTGCTCTCACCAAACTGATGTGCCAGCCTGATTCTGCTTTCACCTCCTCTCTAGTTAGCTTTTGACAAGCTCTTGATGCCACTTCGTCACTCTCCTTCTTAAAACTGTGATCCCTTGGCTTTAGCTTTGATTCTGTATCACCAACACTTACTCCCCCGTGTAGCTCCCACTAACAGAAATGTGCGTCACTGTTTTTTCTATGCATCCTCCATTCACTGCCTAATTTCTCTTCTCTGAATCATAGCCAAATTTCTCCTCTAAGAGTGGCGCATGTCTTTTTGCTCTTCATTTACTCTTCAACCTACTGGAAATTGACTTCACCTTCATCTTTCCAGGGAAATTTCTCATTTCCCCTCTAACTTCTCCTTACGGTCTCTACATTGCCTCATCTTAGCAGCAGTAGACACAACGAACCCTCAGGCTTCTGAGACGTCTGTGTCTCTGCCTGCTCCTCTGATCATGACTTCAATGTTCCTTTGCAGGACTTAAGAGCACTATTCCACTGCTCTGTATCCATTGGCTGTAACAGTCGTTAAAATACTGAGATAAAACATGCCAACTATAAATAGCTATATCCCAAGCCACTCCTGCTCCAACCCTCCTGCCCTCTTGGCCTTTCCTCCAACTTGCTGAATATTTGCTTAACTCGGCAACTAAAGGGTCAATGTCCCCTACAGTAGGAGGTTCCAGGACCCTAAGGTAGGTTGCCCCCAGCTTGAGTTCTGATTGACCAGTGTCTGTGCTCAACTTCTGTGAACACCCAGACTCCTTTGCTGTCTGAGTTCTACAGGTTTTAGAGATCCATGGCTTTGTCCTAAACCTCTGTTCTTTTCCCTCTACATTTTCTTTCTGAGTGATGTCACCTCTGTCTGTTAATTCTTGGACTTTTCTCCAATATGCCGTTGACTCTTACGCTTCTTTTTCCCTAGAGTTCTGTGCTCCATGCCTGCCACCCCCATGAATCGTCCTCTTGGATACTTCAGAGACACCTCAGACTTCACACGTCCTAGATGGGCCTAAGTCATCTCCTCGCACATGCCCAACACAGCACCAACTTATTTGTGTTCAGTCTTCCCTGTAGCCCAGTTGGTCAAATTTCCTTCATCCTCATTCAGCTCATCCCTTTCCTTTTCATGTCCTGTCAATTTTGTCTCCACAATATATCTCCTATCTGCTCTGTTGAGCCACTGGACAGCCTCCAAGCTGTATTTCCTGCTTTCATTCTTGCCTATATCCAGTCTGCTTCACATTCAGTAGTCAGAGAAATCTAAAAATACACATCCTATTTTAGCACTCCGAGTCCACAACTCTTCAATGACTTCCCATGACATTGGAATAAACTAAAATACGTAAGCAATAACTAAGGAAGCCCCTACATGCTATTTCCGGCTTTCTGTCTTGGATCCTATCCCACTGGCCTTCCCTTGATTCCTTGAATTCACCAACTCAGGGACTTTGGACTCAGTCTGTCATTTTGATTGAATTCTTTCCAACCTTCAGGTCTTAGCATAGATGCTACCACTCTAGAGAACTCTTTCCAAATACCCAGGGTAAATGATGTCCCTTATCCCCTCCTACTATTTTTACCCACGATTCTCTACTTTCCTTAATTTGTAAATCTATTCTTTGTTTTCTTGCTTATTTTATTTGTGATCTTCTTCATTAGACCCTAAGCCATGAGGTAGGAACTATACCTCTTGTATTCACCATTGCATACTAAAGGCCTGGCGCCAACCCAAAGAGACTTTCACTGAATTTCCCAGCCAGCTCAACTTCTGTACATCCCACCAGCCACACAACAATCTGTCCCATGGTGATAGCACTCTTCTTGAGAAAAGGCCTTCAGGTCTTTATTCTCTGTTCTAACAACAGGATTTATAGGCTTTCACCAAAAAAGTCAAGATGAGTGTTCAACTAGAACTTATTATAGCACTGAAGCACATTTCTTTGTATTTGAAATTTTTCAGTGGCTGGGAACGAAGGAAGTAACCACCTATGTTAATATAGGGTAAGAAGGTCACTATGTATGTCCCAAAGGAGGAGGCATTCACTCCACCCTCTGAAGCTGACCAGCCCTTGTTATCTCTGGGAAGCCTTTACAATGTTGTTGCCTGGGCCCCACATTGAGAGATTCCAATTTTGCTTTGATAGTTACATACTTATTTGAATGTGTATTACAAAACGCATAATAAGAACATTAAAGCTTGATCAGGAACATTTCTTATGGGGAAAGCAGTCCATGAACACATTATATAAACGACTGAACTATCAGAAAACTCTTCTATTTCTGAGATTGTGCAATCCAATGTGTGCAAATACTGAAGGCTTCCCCCAAGACAAAGCTGTGCCCTGATGGGTGATCAGGATACAAAGGGTGCAGGCCCCAGGCTCTTAGAGCAGCCATTTGCATACTTCTGCCATGATGAAGGCCGCCTTCCCATTTGCATTCACCACTCACTGCCAAGCAGCTCATGTGCCCTCTTTTTCTCACACTCACAAGTTACAAGGAGACAACACTAAAGTTGGAGAACAGGCAAGATGACTGTGCCCGAGCTGGGTGGAAGGGAGGCGTGGGGACTCCAGGCCACAGTCTCAGAGGCAGCCCTTGAAAGCCCAGATCATGCTGCAATGCGACCTCCTCGGAGATCCAAAGATAGAGGAGACACCCTGTGCCCTTGCCTGGGCAGCGTAAGGGAAGGTGGACTCTGGTACTCAGAAGCTTCTCTGTTCTCTCGGGCTATTCTCTCACTCTAGCCCCCCAACCTATCCTCTCACCCTAGCCCCCCTGACATAGGAGAGGGTGATGGAATACAGGGGGGTTGAAAACTGTTCCCTTTCAGGGTGACCACAGAGCTTCGCATGGCAGGGAGAGGGCCTGGGGGGAGATGCAATGTGGAAATTGAAGAAACAGGAAACTGTGGTGGTCATTTCTTTCACCAAGATTATATTAAGGGGCTTCACAAAGATCACGGAAAATGGGAATAAAAGTTAACTGAATTTTGTAAAAACAAAGAAAAGAAACGAAATCCATGTGTAGTTTTTTTCATCGTACACATGTTCACATTTGAAGAAACCCTCCTAGGCATGGGTTTCAAAATGTTTTGCTCCAAGATAAACTTAGCTTTTATTGTCATTATCCACAAATGTTGTGAAGTACTTCATAGCTAAATTTCATTGCATCTTATTTGCTTAACTTTCATGTCTAAGTACAGCATGGCTGTGTTTATCATTTTAATTTTTTTAAAGATGTATTTATTTTAAAGACAGAGACACAGAGAGAGAGAGATGTCTTCCATCTGGGGACCCACTCCCCCCAAATGCCTGTAACAGCCAAGGCAAGTTCAGGCTGAAGCCAGGAACCAGGAACTCCATCCAGGTCTCCCATATAGATGGCAGGGGCCTACAAACTTGGGCCACCTTCTGCTGCCTTCCCAGGTGCATTAGTAGGGACCTGGATCAGAAGTGGAGCATCCAGGACTCAAACCATTACTCCATTGTGGGATGCCAGCATCACAATGGTCAATGTCTGGTTTATTTTAAAATTTTTCCTATATTCTTTTTTAAAAAGTACTTATTTATTTATTTGAAAGGCAAAGCTACAGAGAAAGAGAGGGAGAAATAGAGAAAGAGATCTTGCATCCGCTGGTTCACTCTCCAAATAGCCACAATAGAAAGGGCTGGGCCAGGCTGAAGCCAGGAGTCTGGAACTCCAACCAAGTCTCCTACGTGGGTGGCAGGGGCCCAAGCACTTGGATCATCTTATGCTGGTTTCCCAGGTGCTTTAGTAGGGAGCTGGATCAGACGTGTAGCAGCACAGATCCAAAGAGGTGATCATATGGGATGGCA